TTAATCTTAGTTACTACTCACGCTTTGGTTTCTGGGTCGCAACAGGTAGAGAACTTTCAAGGTTTTTAATAACCTTATTGGCAATCTTGTCAATGTGATGGAGCACGTGAGTCATCGGCGTCTCGGCTCCAGGTTTCGTTACAGATTTGTCCTCCTCCTTGGGTTCATGACCCAACTGCTCGGGCTCGTGCACGCGATTTACTGGCTCTTGTCCTTCTTCGAGTGAATCTTCCTTAGTTGGTTTTTGCTTTGGGCGTTTTTGATTTTCTTCGTCTAGTGTAAGACTCGCTTCATCGGGTAAATCTGCCTTGGTTGGTTTTTGCTTTGGGCGCGTTTGTTTTTCTTCGTCTAGTGTAAGACTCACTCCGTCATGCCCTGGTTTTTCTTCCTTCGATTGTACTACTGGTGTCGAGGCCCCTGTGAGAGGAAGTGGTACGGGCCCTTTGAGACCTTAAATAAAAAAGAAAAGAAGTCAGGGGGGTGAGCTACTTATCAGCTTATAGCTTATCAGCATATCATGGTTTATTAGCTTATAACTTATCATTGTATCATGATTTATCAGGGAAACGATGAAAGCTTCGGAGACTGTTGTTTAACGATCAACTCTATACGATTATATTTCAGGAGAATTTATATCCCAACATAAATAAAGACAATGATCAGTCCCCCGTGCGGCAAAAGTTAGAGATTTCTAAAGTTAAATACAACTCCACTGCGCTGAAAATAAAGGTACATGTGCCGCCTCTACCTGTTTTCACATTCACCGAGCTACACTGCGGGCATGCGCCGCTGTCCTTTATCATGGTGATGGTGTGGTCTGGTTGCTGGTCTTCAGGGTGCACATTTAGCTGGCTGGTATCCAGGGAAACCGTACCAGGCCCCTGCATTGAGACAGACACACTATGTGGACCCATGTGTCCGGACACTTTGTTGTCTTTGTGTGATTTTTGCACCTGAACATTATACACGTTCAAGTTCTGAGGATCTCCAGGGGCATCCAACAGGGGCTGGTCAGCTGTGGCTTGTTGGTAATACTGTATAACCTGATTTTTCGGTTTTTGGTCGGGTGCTATAAAGATTGGGATGATAAGGTGAACATTTAAAAAACTGCATAGTGATTGAATTTAATCCGAGCTAGAAAAGAGCCTTGAGTGTATTATTGCTCATGATTAACAATTCATTAATAACTAAAATAAGGTCAGAATAATTTAAACAAATTCCTTTTTTACGCTCAACAATCTTAAAATTTTGTAGCAACATTATAAGAGAAGCCTTAAAGGGGTAAACCGTTAGCTTTAAAGCGACAAAAATATAGTCAAATTGTCAAATTTTAACCGTTAGTCTTAGAAATAGATTATCCTTAAAATGTTTCCTTCTACAAGGTGTCATTTTCTGTCATTTTGGGTTAATAAGCCGTAAAAGGGCCAAACATTTTGAACCTCAACCGTAAAAGCCATAACCCCATTGAGACCCTCTTATTAACTAAAAGTTACCACCTGAAGTCATATGGCATTAATTGTGTCAAGGACCTCAAAGCAATTGAGTCATTACTAAAGAAAAGATTCTTCTTGGACATTCGTAACAAGCTCGAGACAATGAAAAATCCATTTCCGAGTATGCTGTCGGACACCATTACGACTTATGAATTACATCGACTCCCCTGATATAACCTAGGTAAGCTTTGAGACCTTGTTTCGATATGAAGGTTCTCAGCCGGGCTATTCGAATTCCAGCCTGAATCAGATGAAAACTTAGCCTGCTGAATGAAGTGTCGAACTGATTGCCAAATCAAAAAATTTCCTCCTATCCTCAAACTTTCCAGGGTTTTAAGATGAATAATCTTGCTATCTATTTTTCTCTGGTCGCTAGGAACTATAAACTTTCATCACGAGCTCAATTTGTTTCATCAATGAGATAATTTAATGACAAATATGGCTCAAATTTCATGAAATCGCTCTTTCCTGTTAACAAGGCAATTCCTTATTTTTTTTCCATATATTTTGATCAAATTTTGTCATATGGATTCGCAGAGAACACGGAATGTTTTAATTAATGACTTCAGTTAAGGAATTAACTATTGTAAGCTAAATAAACGAGATGAAACGGCAAAAGTAAGATAAAACAGTTCAACAGGTAGAAGACATTCTTTTCATTAATCAGCAAGCAGTGGTGTGAGAGAAGATCGTTGGGGGGCATTGTTCTCCCTTTCAATGAAATCAATTGTAAATTGAAACATGTGCGTCAGCAGCTGAAAAGAATTTCTTTGCAAATGAACGGAAACAATGAATGAGTTTAAACTTCAACATCGTCAAAATAAAATTCCCATACTTCATTTTGATCTGCTTTCTGATTTCTACGTCAGTAAACAATTGCTTATTTTATATGTCATAATGAGACGTTTAAGTGAAGTGAAAAAGCGACAGGTTTTTTCGGGAACGTTATAGTCGAAATCACATTTTGTAGCACTTTTGGAAAGGAAATCTTAGAAACATTCGACTTCCAAGTTCCTTTTTTTCCATAAGCAATTAACAAAGGCTTTTTTTTTTTTTGTACCTGGTTTGGGTTTGTGGTGATGTCGGGGCCAACCATCTACCAAAACCACGGCCAAGAAAACCAACCAAAACTGACAATGGGACATGTTGTAATGAAAAGATCTCTATCTTCAAGTACGTATCAATGTCACCGAGTTCAGCTGTCTTTCGATTTATAAAATTCTGTTTTTGCCCCCGAACCCGTGACCCAAAACCTTTTCACGCTTGACATCATGCATTAGTTATTTCATTACTAAGATAATCGTGCTCGGATTTAAACCAATTTAATGGTGTTAAATTCTATTAGATCATCTAGTACTTTTTACAGGCATTTTTCGCTTTTAAACACTACGATTTGAGACTAGAAGTATAAAACACTTTCAGTATTATGCCTTTATGTCAAAGTTAAGAATAGACGGCTGTCAATGCTTTAAGAAATTTGTAAACATATCGTCAAGGTATGTACCCGCCTTATTCAGTGAGCACCACTGCGCCACCCGATGGGTCAATTAGATGGTAATTAGCGGTTTAACTGTTTACTTCGATTCATGCAAGATACTGCGCTCTTTTTAGTTAAAAAACGCAGTCATCATTGCTTACAACGCACGTGCAAATGTAACGCTTTTCAAAATCGTTTGTGTTTCTCTAACCGTTAAATTTGGTTTGTCGAACCGTCTATCAGTTAAAAAGTGCCTGGCTAAAAGATTCTAAGAAGCGACAGGTCACATTTGTGCTTTGTTACCCTAGCAACTTGTTGATTGTCATGAGCAATAGATATTCCGTGAGTGATTGAAATAAACCCCGCGCCGTCGTTAGCGATCCATGACAGCATGTGGTTGCATGAAAACATGTCAAGAATTCTCAAGTTCATACTTGTAAATAGCCTGTTCCTCTGCCAGCCGAGGGATGCGCAATGAGTTTAACGATACGGGAAAGAATTCCTTTTCCCAAACCTATGTCCTCTTTTTCTTGATGATGTCCCTTTGCTAAGCTGGTCACGTTGCACCTAGACTCTATTCGCTCACTACTGTCGAACCTGTATTAAGCGGTTACCCCCTCTTAAGCGGCCACTCCGTATTAAGCGGTCGGTTGTCAAAGTCCCGAATCTCTACCCCCTTAATTACTGCAGTTCTAAGTTTTATTTAGCGGTCACCTCTATTAAGTGGCCCTAGTCACCCTTTACTGAGTCCCAACGGCCTGTTTATATTGTCATCCACCTGTAAAGAACGATTACTTAAAGTAGAAGTACTCAAAGAAAACAAGGGAGAATATTTCAAGTTAAATTTCATGCTTGTTTATCTCCCGAAAATCAGTGTTAGTAGTATTTTGAGCGAGGTTTTGTGTATTAAGTGGTCAATCATTGCATGAAATTGTGTTTTTTATCATTTTTTTTTAATACCCCTATAATGTGGAACCTGGTAGCGGTGAACCTGTATTAAACCAGGTGCAAGTGTTTATTGCTCAAAGAAATTAATTTGCGTCCGGCCATATTGACTACAAATCAGCAACGAAGTAACGAAGTCGTTTAGCCTTAGTCTTTACCGTAGCTTCTGTTTGGTACCCAGCTAGCCTTATAAAAAAAAAAAATTATGCAAGCGTTTCTTTATTATTCCTCTCACCTCATGAAATTAAAATAGTGAAAAAGAGCTGTTAGTTTCGTCCTACGGAAGGCTGGCTAAATCAATGGTGGCAAGAGAGACAAAGACGCATACACAACTATTTTTCCAAAAAATAGATCCCATGCAGTTTAATGGTCTTCTGCCGGCAAGGGTAGAGTTAAAAAAAAAAACCCTCGCACAGTAAATAAACAGCCACAGGGCCAAAATTAGAAAATGAATACGAAAAATTTTTATGGAAAATTTACATTAATGACACAAATTTTGCCTTTTT